ATACCTGTTGGGTAACCCCAAGTATTCAGCTGAGACCTGCTCAGCACATGCATGTGAGGAAGTCACCCACAGCCCAGGGAAGGGCCAGAAGGTTTAGAGGGAAGAGTACTTAGTGCTCGCACAGGGCTGGGGAGAGTGACAGTTCCTCCAGCCAGACTGGAAAACTTCCTAATTCAGAGGGTGTCGAATACAGTTCTCAAAAAGGTTTTTGTCTCAGTAGCAGGAATGATGAGCCCTAAGCTAAACTCTGCTCTGGTCTCACCTAAAAGAGCTTAAAAACTGAACCAGAAAAGATCAACCTGTTTCCAAAATGTAACTGCATCCCAGAATGCAGCTCAAGAATCATTATAGAAATACAACAATACCCAGGACCCAACAAGGTAAAATTTACAATATCTGTAGTCCAGTTAAAAATTACCAGGCATGAAACAAACAGGAAGATATAATTCCTATTGAGGAGAAAATATCAATCAATTGAAACCAAACCAGAAATGACAAAGATGTTAGATTTAGCAGAGAATGGCATTAAAACAGTCATTATAACTGTGCCCCATATATTCAAAAAAGTTTAAATAGAGATATGGATGATATAAAAAGACACACATATATATGTGTGTGCATATATACACATACATATGTATCAGTCATAATTTCTTCTCTAGAAGTTTGATTTGGGTATATATGCGTGTGTGTCTATATGTGGAAATTAATAGCAGATTAGATATTGTAGAAACAAGGATTAGTTAACTTGAAGACATAGCAATAGAAATGATCTAAAATCAGAAAAAATATGAACAGAGCACCAGTGAGCTATGGGACAACTTCAAGAGGCCTAATAGATGGGAAATTGATTTCCAGAAGGAAAGGAGAGAGGAGGACAGAACAATATTAGAAGAATTAATTGCTGAAATTTTGCCAAATTTGATGACAACTATAAACTTGCAAATTCAAGAAGCTCAGGGAATCCCAAACATAAGAAGGTACATCATACAAGGTACATCATAATCAAATTGCTCCAAACCAGTGATAAGAGAAAATTTTAAAAGCAACCAAAGGAAAAAGGTATGTTATGTACATTACAAAACAAAGACCAGGTTGACAGCAGACCTCTCATTTTAAACAGTGCAAGTAAGAGGACGATGGACCAATGTCTTCGAAGCACTGGGGTGGAAAACTGTTACCTAGAATTATACATCCAGAAAAAATATTTTTCAAGAATGAAGGCAAAATAAACTTTTTCAGACATATGGTGCTGAAAGATTTCATCACCAGTAGACTCATACTGCAAGAAATGTTAAAGGAGGAAGGATTCCCATACCAGATGGAACTTTAGACCTGCACAAAGAAATGAGCACTGGGAATGGTAGCTATGTGGGTAAATATGTAAGATTCTATTTTTATTTTTAAAAGTCTTTTTAAAATTGATTGAGCGTACATCCAATGGAATATTATTCATCCATAAAAAGGAATGAAGTTCTGACATATTTAACAAGTGGATGAAACTTTGAAAGCATGGGAGTAAGCCAGACACAGGTGTTCATGCATTCTATGATTCTATTTATATGAAATATTCAGAATAAGTAAGACCATAGAAACAGAAAGAAGATTGATTGTTGCCATGGAGTGGGGAATAATTGCTTAATGGGTAGGGGGCTTTCTTTTGGGGTAATGAAAATATTCTGGAACTAAATAGAGGTGGTGGCTCCTCAGCACTAAATGTCACTTAATTGTTGACTTGAAAGTTGTTAACTTTATGTTCTGTGTATTTAATCTCAATACAAAAAGTTTTGAAGACTGACTTGTTTCAATAAAAATAATAAAGTAGTATGAAGTTTATAATGTGTATAAAATTAAAATGTATGACAGAAACAGCACAAAGACCAGGAGGGGAGAAGTGGAGTGAACTATTGTGAGGTTCTTGTACTCCACGTGAAGTGACACAGTGTAACTTGAAGGTAGGTTGTGTCGAGTCAAAGATGAATGCTATAAACCTAATGCCACCACTAAAATGACAAAACGGTTAAATCTAATAAACCTACAAAGAAGAATGGAAGCATAAGAAATATTCAACTCAGAAGAAGATGATAAAAGATGAATCTCAAAATAATTATGCTGCATGAAAACAGCCAGGTAAAGCCGGTACATACTGTGTGATTCTATTTTTAAAAATCTCTAGAAAATTCATACGAACCGACGGTGACGGAGAGCAGATCAGCGGTTGTGGAGGGGTCAGATTAGCGAGGGCGCGAGGCATCCTGTGGTGCTGGACGTGTGGGCTGCTCTGACCGTGGTGGCGGCGCCGGGTAGAAATGCGGCGGAGAGCGTCGTGCCGCGTGCTGCACTGCGCACGGGTTTTGTGCAGTGATTATACCTCAACGAAGCCGTCGTGCTGAGGCCGTGCTATCCTCCCACTTTGCAGATGAAGAGTGTAGGCATGGAGAGCTTACCAACTTGCCCAAGGCTCCCGGTTCGTAAATGCCAGAGTTGGAATTCGCACCCTGAGCATCTGGTGTGGCGCCCAGGCCTGCATCCCTGTACCTGCCCCACCCCCAATTTCGGAGTTCTTTCGACGGCCATGTCCAATCCCGCTCTGCGTCTTCTTTACCCCCCCTCACCCCCTAGGTAGATCACACATTCCTTTATATTATACGTAGTTCGTGCTCATTAAGTAGTTTTTGGATTGATGGGCAAAGGTGTAAATGTATTTTCTCTTTGTAAACTTACAGTGAAAAAGTAACTGTGGGAAGAAGGGGGTTTGCTGGCAGACAGCTCAGATCTATAAAGCACTTTAGCAACTCGGCCTCTGCGTGTCCCTGTATAGAAGCGATCTCGGGGTCCCATCCTCGCAGGGCATTGCCCGGTGGTGAAGGATGTCGCGCCAGCTGCAGAAGCTGTGCAGACTCCCTGGGCTGACTTGACTGCTGCTCCTTGCAGAAGGCCCAGGCCGAGAATCTGCAGTTACCATGGAACCCAACCAGTAGACCGGTGGCTTGTCACCTGGTTCTCCAAATTAGGGAAAGGTGGGGATCTAGTAGCATCCTTTTGAGAACAAAACATGTTCCCTTTTGAGCAGGGACTGTGAAAATGAACCTGTCTGTCTTCCAGGGGAGCTGCGTTTCCCTGCCATGATTCCGGGCGTTGCCTCTGGCCCCCGGCGTGTGCGGGCTTCTCTGCAACCCAGATATGCAGGAGCCCACAGCATGTGTCTCTGCGGAACTGTGCTCCCATGTATCGTCATCCTCTGTTCTCCAGGGCCTGTTTTAGGCGCCACGTCTCCAAGAAGCCTTTGTGTGCCCATCCCCTAGCCCGCAGCCTCCACGTTTGCTCAGAGTACTAACTACCTCTTGACTGCCTCAGTGTTTCCTGAAGCACGAATAACAGAGGTGAGATCTGAGCTTTTCAAACCAAGACTTGCCTTCCTCTGAGGGACACAGGACAGGCACAAGGGGTTGGACGGCCACGGGAGGAACATGCCCCATCGCCTCCCACCAGCTTCTACTGCATGTAAATGTCTTTCCTGATGCCAACTACATGGAAACATCTAAATATAAACATAAGGATATTAAAAATAGGTTACATAACATAAAATTCCACAATTTTTTTTCAGTTTTATTGTGGTAAAATTAAAATATACGTCATATAAAATTTTCCATTTTAACCATTTTTAAGTGTACAGTTAGTTCAGTGGCATTAAGTACATTCACGCTGTTGAGAAACTGTCGCCACCATCCATCTCCAGAACTTTTCTGTCTTCCAAAGCTGAGACTCGGTACCCCTTTCACAATAACTTCCTGTCCCCTTTCTGCCCAGTCCCTGGCACCCACCGTTCTGCTTTCTGTCTCTAAGATTGTGATTACTCCGAGCCCCTCACAGAAGAGGAACCCTACAGTATTTGCCCTTGGGTGACTGGCTTATTTCCCATAGTATAATGTCTTCAAGCTTCATCTGTATAGCATGTGTTAGAATTTCTCTCCTTTTTAAGGCCAAATAATGTTCTCTGGGATGGATATGCCACGTTTTGCTCAGCCACGCATCCATTGATGGATGCTTGGGTAGCTTTCATCTTTGGGCTAAATAGAATAAAATTCTAGAAACTTTTAAAGATGCAGATACAACAAAAGACTTCAAAGAGATATGTTTGCGCCGGCTACTTTTTGGCTTGTGCTTTAGCTGCATGGGCAAGGTGGTGACCTGCCTTCAGGGGTCAGGTCGTGAGGCCCAGAGGCCCTAGGCAGCGTGGATCCATGGCAGTGTTCCTGGAGAAGGCATTAGAGGCAGTGGTAGCGGAGAAGACACATGTGATGAAATGAGCTACTTCGTTGAGTGAATGAACAGAGCGAATGGGTTCACCCATCTAGAACCTACCGAGCCCCTTGGGTGCTGGGCCCTGCCCTGCCCTAGGGCGCTTGTGGCCTAGTGAGTACTGGCCTGGGGGTGAGAGAATTGCAGAGCGGAGAGGGTGCTTCAGAGGGGCCTGGTTGGGAACTAGAGACCCAAAGGACAAATTCCAGGAAGACGGAGACGGGAGGGTGTTTCAGTCATTGCAAAGGGAGTGAGCCACGACGCAGAGCATGTGTGCAGGGCACAGCGTGTGACTAGGAAGGACGGAGTGCCGGGCATGTGTGTGGTGGGGCAGCGGGAGAGCAGAACAGGCCTGTCCAGAGGGAATTAGGCTGGGTTCGGGGTGGGAAGGGCTTGGAGCCCCTGCTAAGAAGTTGGAGCGTCCATCCTCTGGGACATGAGGAGCCTTTGAAGGGTTTTAAGCAGGATGGTGGCGGGCTTGGATTGACCTTTGAGCTGGTAAATGTGGGTTGGAGGACAGCTCCACTCTGAGAGCCCCCTGGAGGCTTTATAAGCAGGGACGCCCTGTCTTCAGTTGCTGCCTCATTGGGAACCTTGGGGATGCTCCTCAGAACCCTGAATCCGTGAACCCTAAAAAAGCTGCCCGCTGTCCTGCTCCAGCCACTCCCTGCTCTGGTTTTGGGCTTGTCCTCCCCCAGGTCCGAGGCGAGTTGCTGCGGGAGAGAGTGCAGCGGCTGGAGGCCCAGGAAAGACGCTTCACCGAGGCGCTTGTGGCTCTGCAGTTCCAGAAGGCGGCCCGGGTGACTGAGACACTGTTGGCCTACACTGCCCTCCTCAGCATCCAGGACTTGCTGCTGGAGGAGCTGAGTGTGTCGGAGACGCTGACCGAGTCGGCCTGCACCCAGATCCTGGAGTCGCATAGCCCGGTGAGTGCTGGTGTGGGGGAGGGAACGGGACGGAGGTGGCCACTGCCATCCCTTGCTCCTTTCTGGTACGGCCTCTGTGTCTCCCACCGTGGAAGGGGCTGCAGTCCCCAGCCCTGCCTGTGCTTCAGGGTTTGGGTGGGGATTAAGCGAGGTGACTTATTTGAGAGCACTTTTGCACTCTCAACCCTAGACAGCTCTGTTGCATTGCCTCTGAGAAGCATCCCCTTTGGATTTTAACATCTCTGAAGCTGGGTGCAGCTTCCACTCAAGGGCGTGTGTCCTGGTTTCGTGGGCCGTGTCGTTTCCTTCATGGTTCTGTGCACATCAACAGTGCCTCTGTCAATTACTGGCATCCTGAATGCAACCGTTTGTTGGATTATTTATTACTTTCATTTATTTTATTATTTTTATAATTCTAATCATTCCCATTATTCCTGCATGCTACATTCTTTTAAGGTGTGAAAGGTATATCCATAAAACAAAAGATGTGGTAAAAAGTATTTTGAATACCTATTTTAGGTCCTTTATGGGTAGATTTTAGAATTTAATTTATCATCAGTTATTATCATAATTACTTACAGTGAGGAAAAAGGGCCTCACATTCACTGAGTCCCTAGTATTGTGAATGGACATGCTCTCGTTTAAGCATTAGTAATTCTTTAATTAGCCTTCTCAAGATTATCATTTATGCATGATTAATAATAATAAGTTGCAATTTTATGCTGCTTTACAATTATGCTCTTTGTCATTCATTATGTTAATTAATGACTGAGCCCTGCTGTGAAGTAGGTGCTGTTATTATGCTCAGTTCTAAGGTAAAGAAACTGAGATTTGGGCAGGTGGCAGGCCAAGGTCTTTGTGAAGACCACATGGCTAATCAATGCAAGGACATTGAATCTATTTCTGACTCCCACCCACTATGTCACATTCATGGGCTGCACCAGTGGGTGCGCCAAGGGGATTCCCATACTTCCTTTGAAAAGCAACAAGTAATAGTGGATGCTGAACAGTCCAAGACTGTGTTTTGGACCAACACTATGTGTCCTGCATTGTGACAACTACTTTGGGGATAGAAAGGAAGTAGAGGCATTATAGATATTCCAACACAGAACACGCAGACCCTGGACAAAGAAAAATGAACATTCTTTTAAATGCTTTGTGAACTCGCAAGAGAATACAGAAAATCCCCAAGACATATCCCAGAGTAAGCTGAACTCAGAGGTAGAGGAAAGCAAGTTCAGAGCTAGTTTCATCATGGAGCAGAGCCTGAAAGCTGCAACGCAGGGGTGTGGGGATTAGTTCTGGGGGAACAGGAGGTGAGGCCATGAGGTGGATCCCAGTGAGGGGAAGGGAGAGAAATCCACCTGCCGGCAACACCTGTCTCCACACCTGCTCCAGGTGCGCCGGAAAGTCTCCCTGTGAGTTTTTTTTTTTTTAAATCTTCTTTGCAATCTGATGAGGAAGAATCTCTGTGAGTTTTTAATCAAAGCCTTCCGCTAATATGGGGAATGTGTCCAAATGTATTTTGGCAGTTCGGTCAGGAAACCTACAAGGTGATAAATTAAATTAAAATGGTTCCAGGTTGGCCAACTGTCCTGGTGCAAAGACAAGTCCTCTCCTGAGAAAAATATTCTCAGGGGGCACCTCAGGATTTCCGCAGGTTAAGGTCAGCCAAATCTGAGCTCCCAACTGAAGAAAAAAGTCCCTGAACACATAAAAAAAGCAAGGCAAGATGACCTATATACAGAAGAAACAAACGAGCAAAAAAACACACATTAAGATCCCTGAAGATTTTAGGTATCTGAATTATCAGCATAGAATATGAAATAATGATTTATGAAATTGTTAAATAAAGATAATACAAAAGTGATTTTAAAATTTAATTTGCCTAAAGCATATAGTGATTCTAAACTTGCATATACTTAATGAAAGACTCAAAATAACAAAAAGAAAAATTGATAGCACAGGGAGAAATTGATAAATGTATCACAATAATGGGAAATTTCAGCACAGTTCTTTCAGTGGTTGATTGGTTGATCAGATGAGACCCAAGAAAGGATATAGATGTCCTGAATAACCCATTTAGCAAACTGGCTTTAATGTACACACGCAGAGTCTCCCTGCTGACTATTAACGAACATACGTTGCTCTTTAGCCATGTTGGAACAGTGACAAACGACTGGCTGTGTGACTCCATTGTTACCACCTTCTGACAAAGGGCAAGTGGGTTTAATTCAGTTAAAAAAAGATAATTACGGCCGGGCGTGGTGGCTCACGCCTGTAATCCTAGCACTCTGGGAGGCCGAGGCGGGCGGATCGTTTGAGCTCAGGAGTTCGAGACCAGCCTGAGCAAGAGCGAGACCCCATCTCTACCAAAAAATAGAAAGAAATTAATTGGACAGCTAAAAATATATAGAAAAAATTAGCCGGGCATGGTGGCGCATGCCTGTAGTCCCAGCTACCTGGGAGGCTGAGGCAGTAGGATCGCTTAAGTCCAGGAGTTTGAGGTTGCTGTGAGCTAGGATGACGCCACAGCACTCACTCTAGCCCGGGCAAAAGAGTGAGACTCTGTCTCAAAAAAAAAAAAAAGATAATTACAAATCGTCCATGCTTTGGACTTTGGAAATTTTAAAGCATACTTCCGAATAATTCATGAAAGAAATCATAATGAAAATTTAAAAATACATAGAACAGAAAAATAATGTAACTGTAACGTATCAAAATGTGTGAAATTCAGCTGAAGCTGCTTTTAGAGGGAAATTGATACCTTAAACATACTAGCAAAGAAGAAAAGCTCACTATGAAGATCATATTAAAAATTAGGGTGGAAACAACAATAAATGCACCTGTAGAAAGTAGAAGGAAAGAACATAGCATAAATAAAATTAGGAACAGAACTACCATAGAGAGAATCAATACAGCAAAAAGTTGAATTTTTTAAAAAAAATATACAAATCCCTGGAAAGACCAACCATTAAAAAAACATAAAGGACAAGTAAATAATATCAATAATATCAAAGAACAGCATAACTATAGGTCAAGTAGACTTTTTAAAAAATGCTATTAACAACTTTATATAGATGAATTTGAAAACTGATATAAAATGGAAATTTTTTGAGAAAAATATAAATCACCAAAATTGACTCAAGTAGGAAAAAAAGTCTGTATCATTCTATTACCATGAAAAAATTTGATTTAGTAGTTAAGAATCTTCCAACATATATACAAAAAAACATATATACAAAGAAAACTTAGCCCCAAAGTTTTATAGGTGAGCTTCACCAAACTTTGAGGTATTTTGCCAATCTCACATGTAAATTATTCCTGGTGTCAGAAAAATAGGAACTATTCCTCATTTTATGATGCTCCGATAACTTTGACACCAAAACCAGACATGAGTAGTACAAGAAAGAACAGGTATGGTTCAGTCTTACTTGTGAACATAGATGTACAATTTATAAACAAAATATTGTTAATATAATCCAGTCATCTATACAAATTTTTAAGACATCATGGCCAGGTTGAGTTTATCCTAGGAGTATAGGTTGGTTTAATATTAGAACACCCATTTACTAAATTTACCTGATTAACAGATTAAGTGGGGGGGACTCATATGATACTTTCAGTATATACAGTATAAGTCTTTTATTTGACACCCATTTAAGGTAAAACTTCCCTAGCAAATTAATAATAGGAGGAAACTTGAACAGAGCACTTACCCATAATACACAGCAGGTATTACACTTGGAGGTGGCTAGCACAGAGGTGGACAGCTGCCCAAATTCCAGAGGGAGGAGAGGAAGCCTTCAGAAGGGAGATTTATTGAGTTAGGGGTAGAGTGAGATGCTAGGAGCCTCTGGCTTTCAGTTCACAATTCATCTGCTCAGCGTAAGTGCTTGAGAAACACCCTCAGTTCAGCCCTAAAACACTGCATGGTGCTTTTTCCTTGAGACCACCCTGATTTTTGTTAGTAATTGGGGAGTACAGCACTTACATTTCCAGTTTCTCTTAAAGCTCTTTTGAGTAACATCAATGCTTCCTATCTCTAGTTTGTTTAGAATAAAAGAGTTAATGTGCCCTGAATTGGGAGCGACTGATAATAAATCAGATGACATCATATTATTAAATCGCTGGTAAGGCAATGGGTACAGTGCATTTTTTCTTTGGCTTGCATTGGGAGGGAAGACAAGCCTGTTGTTTTGCTCCGGATATTAGACTTTCACTTTGTATTTCGCTCATTCCGTGTAAACCACATTCCCATTGTGAATGGGCTTGTAAGCTGTTAAACATTCAGGCAAATCCAAAAAGCATGAAATAAAATGCTCTGGAAGAAATGACTCCTAAGAAAACTGTATCAAGTGTACCTCGTTCGATGAAAGATTTAGACTCATTTTGTAAAATTAGAACACATGCAAGCCTCGATTGGCTCAGAGGGCCCTGTGGCAGTGATGGGCAAACTTAAATAGGGCGGACTTACTCGTAGCAGACAGTGTGGCCCCAAACCAACTGGTCCCACTGGGTTTGCATGTCAGCCGAAATTTCTGTGTATCCACTTTCTGAACCTGACCTGGGCATCTCCCTCTGATGTTCCCTCAGCATCACCTGTTGATTCTGCCGGAGTTTTCCCACTTCCAACTTCTGCTGCCCAGCCTCACTGCTCTGACTTTCTAGCCCCGAAATACAAAAATAACATTAATATTTGCTAACATCTGTTGAGCTCTCCTTAAGTCCAAGGCACAGGGTTAAGTGTTTAAACCTTACGTCCACCCCGTGACATTTATACACCCATTCTGCAGATGAAGGAGCCGAGGCTTAGGAGGGTTGAGTCATTTCACCAAGGTCCCACAGCTGGAAAGCAGACTTTAAACCTTCCCTCCATAGCCCATTCTCCTGCCCTCACATCCCCTTCTGCCCACCTCCCTTCTCCCTGCTCCGGTCCCTCTCCACCCTGCCACCAAAGGGATGTTTCTGAAAAGTAAAAGTGGTGCTTCGAAGCCGCACCCCCAACTCTGCACTGTAAAATCCCACCATTCACCACTCCCTTCCTAGGACCCTGCATTTTGGTCCCTGGACTGCTTGCTGTCCCCCGAGTGCTTGAGACACATTTAGGCATCTGTTCCTTTGAAGGTTTTCTGCCTAAAATGCTTCTGCCACACCTCTTTGCAAATGTCAGTGCATATTCTAAGACAGGCTTGAATGTTGCCTCCTCTTCGAAGCCATCCATGATTCCCTCCGGCAGAGTTGGTCTCTCCCAGCTCTGGGCTCTGATAACCCTCCATCCTGAAGCAGTGATGGCATTTCTCGTCACTGTGACTGTGTTTACACAGCTGTCTTCCTCACTACACTGTGAGTTTTCAGAGTCTAGGGGCCATGTCTCATTCATCCCTGAATCCCTTGTGCCCCAAAAGAGGCTTAGAACTCTGTCTGTCTGTCTATCCATCCATCCGTCTATCTGTCTGTCTTTCTACCCATCCATCCTTCCATCCATTCACCTGTCACCATCTATCCGTTCATTCGTTCCCCAGATACCGTGCAGTGCTCACTAGAGGCAGTGGAGCTGAGATCCGTCCTGCCTTGCACAGCTCTGTGATTTCAGATTCACTCCAGACTCTCTGTGCCTGTTACCTTATGTACAAAATGGGATAATAATGTATTCTACCTTGGGTTATTTTGTGAAGATTAAATAAACTAATTCACGTACAAATACTCTGAATGAAATTTGGCACAGTATAGGCATTTGGTAAATGCTAGCTGCCACCACCACCACCACCACCATCATCATCATCATCATCACTGTTACTCCTTCCATTAGCCAAGCACTGTGCAGGGAAAGGTAAAGTCAGCTACCGCATCAGAGTCCCTGACCTCAGCATTTAAAATCTAATGAGGGAGGGCCAGGCGCAGTGGCTCACGCCTGTAATCCTAGCACTCTGGGAGGCCAAGGCGGACAGATTGTTTGAGCTCAGGAGTTTGAGACCAGCCTGAGCAAGAGCGAGACCCCGTCTCTACTAAAAATAGAAAGAAAGGAATCGGACAACTAAAAATATATAGGAAAAAAAAATTAGCTGAGCATGGTGGCGCATGCCTGTAGTCCCAGCTACTCGGGAGGCTGAGGCAGTAGGATCGCTTGAGCCCAGGAGTTTGAGGTTGCTGTGAGCTAGGATGACGCCATGGCACTCTAGCCCAGGCAAGAGAGTGAGACTCTGTCTCAAAAAAAAAAAAAAAATCTAATGAGGAAAGCAAGCATTAAAGAAGACAATTCCAGAACTGAGTTTTGAATTTCAGATGTGTTAAATGGCAGGCAGATGTCGGGATGTTGCAGGGGCTTCGGGGACAGGTCTGAAGCTCTGGGCAAACTTGCCATCAGCAGATTATAAACTATGAAACGTATTTCCACTTTCGCTTTTTTCTTTTCTTTTCTTTCCTTCATTCCTTTCCCTCCCTTCCTTCCTTCCTTCCTTTTTCTCTCTTTCTTTCATCTTATATCTTTATCTTGTATCTTTCCTTCCTTCCTTCCTTCCTCTCATCCTCTCTTTCTCTATTTTTCTTTCCAGACAGTGTCTCACTCTGTTGCCCAGGCTGGAGTGCAGTGGTACGATCATAGCTCACTGCAGCCTTGAACTCCTGGGCTCAAGCGATCCTCCCACCTCAGCCTCCTGAGTAGCTGGAACTACAGGTGTGCATCCTCATGCCCAGCTAATTCTTTTTATTATTTTTTGTAAAGATGGGGTCTTGCTATGTTGCCCAGATTTGAACTCCTGGCCTCAAGTGAAATTCCTGCCTTGGCCTCCCAAAGTGCTGGGATTACAGGTGTGAGCCACCCTGCCTGGCCCTCCACTTTATTTTCTATTCCTAAGCAGGGCTCAGCTGGTACTTGAAAAGCCACTCTTTGTGCCCCACTGCTTCTCTGGTGACAGTGACAGGTCTGGGTTAGAGCTTTTTCCCATACAGTGGGCTGGGGTGGCATGTCGGTAGAAGTCTGGTCTCTGACCCAGGCTCCTGGCCATGCTGGCATCTTGACAGAACATCCTGTTGGAAACTGTGTTGAGTTATGTTTCCACGTGGGGTGCCACGCCCAGAGGGATGGTCACAACTACCAAGCTCAGCACACCAGGAGCCCTGCTCAGGAGTTTTCAAAGACTTTACAGGGCCCTGGGGCCAACACCTGGTGCTCAGCTTAGGTATAAGGCTCTCCATGCTACAGCCTCAGTTTATCTCTGCAGCTGTTATTTCTTCTTGTTCTTGAGTTGTGTTTCTGAGTCTTCGGCTTTCAGACCCTTTTGGGAGTTTGATGTAAGCTTTGGCCCCTCTGCAGAAAGGCAGACCATTTGCTACATATTTTAGGAGGATCAAGGACCTCCCCTGATGAAATCCATCCCAGGCCTCTTAGGACTAAACCCCACCCCTACCCTTCACCCCTACTTATTGCACTGGCCAGTCTGGTGAATAATGGGTTAAATATGCCTGCATTCTCCAAGGCCTGGGGCCCTCCTGCCTACCTCCCTCACCCACCTAAGCAGGCTGCGGATAGTCCCTTGTGCTAAGATTATCTACTTCTGGTGGCCTAAGAATGCAAATTTCTTCTGTTTGGCCAATAAGAGGCAGTGTAGCCTGGTGGTTAAGAACACAATCCTGAAGCCAGCTGGCCTGGCCTCACATTTTGACTCTGCCACTTAAAAGTTGCATCACCTGGCAAATTACTTTAACTCTCTCTGCTTTGATTTCCTCATCTATAAAACAAGGAAATGAGAGCATGTGTTCTGAAGGGGGTCACAGGGATTCAACAGGATTAACACACGTAAGCACACAGGACGGCACCATGGGCACCAGCACCTTCGCCATGGCAGATGCGCGCAGGTCCTCCACGGTGTGCAGTGGCAGCTGCCAGCCGCCAAACACATTGCACACAGGAAGGAGGAGACGCAGCCCTGCCCTCAGGAGCTCACGCTCTAGCAGAAGGGTGCGGGCCGTGACTTCAGGCCACTGTGGACGTGGGGCACATACCAGGGGTGGTGAGTGGGCACGTGAGGGGAGGGCTCTGGCACCTTCCAAGGGACTTAGGGAGCCCTTCACTAAGGAGATTCTTCTTATGCCAGGGCTTGGAAGAAGACTGGGGACTGGTCAGGCAAACGGAAAGACTCTGCAGGTGCAGGGAGCAGCATGTGCAAAGACATGGAGGTGTGAGAGACTGGTGCAGTCACATGGCACCACGTGGCACAGCTGGATGGGGGAGCCTGGTACGACCCGGTTGTGACAGGCTTGCAGAGCCTGTCCTGCAGCCCACCTGCCTTTTGCAGCAGGACTCACCACCTGCCCCCTCCTTGTGCAGGAGCTGCAGGAGCTGGAGAGGAAGCTGGAGGACCAGCTGACGCAGCAGGAGGCAGCCCAGCAGCAGCAGGCCCTGGCGAGCTGGCAGCAGTGGGTGGCCAATGGGCCTGGGCTTCTGCACGAGCCTGGGGAGATGGATTCTGAAGGGCAGGTTGCCAGCATGCTGTGGCAAGCCCTGAGCAGGGGCCAGAAGTTCCTGGAGCACCACCAGCAGAGGTAGGCTGAGTGCCCCATGGCGTTCCGTGGTGTCAGGCCCCTGCAGGCCTGGGGAACCCGGCCTCTCCAGTTCAGGCCGACCTCGCCTGCCTGGCCCCACACTTCTGCTTGCGTGTCACTGAAGTGCTCAGGCACAAGCTGCTAGCTTTGTAGGATCCTGCTTCTGCCCTGCCACCTTTCTGTATTTTCTTTTTCATTTTAATATCATGGAAGTTTACTAAACAGTATTTTTAAACTTTGTGTTTTTGAATAATTATAGATTCAGAAGAAGTTGCAAAGATAGTAGGAAAGGTCACATGCACCCTTCACCAGTATCCCCCAGTTGGTCCCATCTTACATGATCATGGTCCCTTATCCGAACCAGGAACTGACACTGGCACGAAACAATGGACTCAACCGCAGGCCTTTTTCCAGTTTTACCGTGAACGTGGGAGTTTATACTCTGCTTTGTGCAACTATAAAACAGACAGGACCCCAATCTTCCTTTTTGTTCTTTGCATTCTTTTTCACTGAACTTTAGGCAACTAGCCTTGGCTGTGGCATTAAGGTCTCTTGGAGACACATAATTTTTAGCGACTTCATAATTTTCCACCGTGAATATACTACTGATGTGGAAGGGAGAGCATGCAGATGCTGTTCACAGTGTGATTAGTCTTTAAAGCACACCCAGTTCATCAGAAGGAAATAGACCAAACCGTAATGGATGTGATTTCTGGGTGGGGGGATTACAGGAGACTTTAATTTATTTGCTTGTGCTTTTCTGTGTAAACACAACGCCAAAGTGCGACTCAGTCCCGCCGCCTCTGTGTGGTCGAGGGAGCTGCTCAGAGGTTTGGCTCAGGTCAGCCTGAGACTTCAGCACACGCAGTACTCAAGCACTCCCTGCGGGCGGTTGCTTCGGTCAAGCTTTTGGTTGGAGTCGTGCCTGCAGGTCTGGGTTGTACTAGCCAAGAGAGCATGCGGCCGCTTCACGATGCCAACTTTAATTGGCTGAGGGGTGGGTCAAGAAGGCCCCCTTGTGCGGAAGTCAGGAAGCCTCACGTGTTCAAAAAGGTGACACCCAGTCTTGTGGTCAGGGCCAGGACCACACTTGGACAAGGGTGCTGGGTCTTCTTTGCCCCAAGGGCGTATGGTGGACGTGGCCCTCAGCACTTGGCATTCTCGGTCGTGGCCATGAGGACTGACGCAGGGTCTTCAAAGGAAGAGCAGAGAGCACCCTGCAAAGGCACAGAACGTGTCCTCCAGCAGCCCACACACCGCAGCGCTCTTCCCAGGGAGCCCCGCCACGTTATCTGTGGAGAAGTCCAGGCAGGGAGGGGAAAGCAAACCTCTCTGCCACCTCTCTGTGCAGATACGTGTATTTTAAATTATGTGGCTTAGATGTGAGGTTCTTTGTTATTTAAATAGCTAGACGATCTTCTCACACTATCACTCTCTAATGAAGCTGGGCTCACACAGACGTTGTTTCGCTGCAGTCTGAGAGCGGAGCAGCAGCGCATTGCCGTGCTGGAAGACGTGCTGGAGCACTCGGAGATGGACACCTTCGTGGCCCTGTGCAGCCAGGTGAGGGGATGCCAGCACGCCACTTCGCCTCTTCCTCAGAGCCCACATTTCCTCGCCGCAGCGTGGGCTGATAATGCCACCTTGGGAACTGCGGGCGGATTTAGGAAAAGCCCGAGACGGGGTCCAGCATGCAGGGGACACCCAATCAGTGCTGACAGCAGCAGCCACGGCGGCAGTGACGACTGGCCCGGCGGGGGTCTCTGCTGCGGTTTGATAGGCACCCGTCCCCCTCTTCTCAATCTCTAAGTTTAACATGCGGAGAGCAGGCTCCACCCGGAACAAAGTTGGTAAGAGAACAGCGAGTTTGCCAGAGCCAACGTGTTTGCACCCCATGTTCCAGCTCCCTGAGCTGAGACTGGCTGGCCTGGCTGGTCCCCGGCCAGGGTGCAGCACTCACCTCCCTCCAAGACAGCCCTGGGCCGTGTGCCCAGCACCTTGGGCAGAGGCGTGGCCCTGGCGGCTGCTAGTCGTGTTTTATGAGCATCCTCAGTGGGCTTCCTGTGCGTCCAAGTGTCTAAGTACCCGAAACATGACTTAGCGTGGTGGATTATGCAGATTGCAAGCCTCTGGGAGTAGGTGCTCACTGGCTCGGTGACATCAGGGTCACGTTCTGTGGGTTCTTCCACAGTTCCTTCTCGCAGTTCCAGCTGCCCTGACTGTGTCAGAGCGGGAAGGGAACAGGTAGAACAACAGCCACTTACCTGTCCATTTGTCAAGGAAACAAATGCCCCCACGTCCCTGCAGCAGACTCCACTCCATCCCAGGAGAACTGGCACGTGGAGCCCACCGGCTGGGAGGGAGGCTGCACTCACTCCCAGCCCGAGGAGGGAATCGGCAGAGGGAAGGAGTAGGAACACACTTAAGGTGTCCAGCGGCTGAATCGGCCATGGCTGGCCACAGGCACACGCAGCTGCCCGCGTGGGTTAGTTTCCTGGTGCTGCTGTAACCAAAGACCACTATCCTATGGTTCTGTAGGTCAGAAATCCAACATGGGTTTCTCCAGGCTAAAACCAAGGTGTTGGCAGGTTTGCATCTTTCGGGAAGCTGTAGGGGGAGAATCTGTTTCCTGCTCACTCAGGTGATTGGCAGGATTTGACTCACTGTGGTTGCAGGACTGAGGTCCCCATTTTCCTGCTGGCCATCAACCAAGGGACGTTCCCAGCTTCCAGAGGCACCGGCATTCCCTGCTCGTGGCTCCTTTTCTTCACCTGCAACGGCTGCGACTCTGCATCTCTCTGGCCCGAGTTCTCCCGTCACGTTCTCTCTCTCTGCCCTCCCACAGCAGGAGGGGTGTCCGATTTTAAGGACCCAAACGATGGTTATGTTGGACCCACCTGGAAAATCCAGGATAACTACCCCATCTCAAGTTCCTTAATCTTACTCCCATCTGCACAGTCCCCTTAAGGTGACATATTCACAGGGTCTGGGACTGGGCATGGACACCTCGCAGGAGGCAAAGCTAAGCCCGGGAGGCGTCGGTGGCAGTGACGAAGCTGATGTGAGAGCCACCCTGGGCTTTATAGATACTTACAGCAGAGGGCACCTGCCTGGGAGGGGTGCGGGTGGAGCACCTGCTGCTCGCGCTCTGCTGCTGGGCGGGTTCCGCCATTGCCCCCTTTGCAGACAGGTCCTAGGGAGGTGAAATTCTTGCCCAGGTGCACACCGAGGAGCTTGGCAGAGCTAGGCTAGGAGCCCGAGTTCTTCCTGTCCTGCGCCTGTCACAGAAGTACATGGGCTCTGAATGGGTTGGGGGCGGGGACGGTATTTTCTGAAGACCTGCAGTGCCCTGAGAATTGTCCTAGGCACGTACATCTGTTATTCATTTAGTCCTCCCAGAAAGCTAGGACATGGGGAATGTTATCCCCATTTCGTGAATAAAGGGACGAAGGCACAGGGAGTTGGTGCGGACACGAGAGCTCGCAGCTGCTCGTGGGGCACTCGGGGTTCAGCCACGGCTTGACGGCAGCACAGGCTCTGCTCTTCCTGCTTGGTGTCCCGGCAGAGCGTAGAGCAGATGACAGCCCCTACCTGTGTCTCTGGGCCACTGAGCCGTCTCCCAGGCTCAACTTTGACTTTTCCCCCTTTCTTCTTTGTTACTTTGAGGCTTTCCGGAAAGCCGGTGTCACATGTGGATCTTCACCCAAGTTCGTTTCCAGATCGTGGGCTCATTTAAGCTGTGAACTCTGTGTCTCCATCTGTTTCTGCTGCCGTGCAGAATACCTAAGGCTGGGCAGTCTCTGAAGAATAGAAATCCCTTTTTTTGCAGTTCTGGGGCTTGGAAAGTCCAAGACCAAGCACCTGCAGATCCAATGTCTAGTGAGGGCTGTGCTCTGCTTCCAAGGTGGTGCCTCGTTGCTGCATCCTAGGGAGGGAGGACGCCATGTCCCCGTGTGGCAGAAGGGATGGAAGGGCGCAGGGCTTAGCTAGTTCCCCCAAGCCCTTTAGTAAGACACTAATCCCATCCTTGAGGGCAGAGCCCCACGACCTGATTGTCCTCAGGAGGCCCCTGGGCTGTTGTATTTGGGGTCAAGTTTCGGCATGGATTTTGGAGGGACACGAACATTCAGACCTTAGCACTCTGCTAAAGAATGGGCTCTGCGATGAGTAAATGCTGCCAGACCAGAAGCTTGGGCAGCGGGGACCAGACAGGGTCATTGTTTTTCTCTGCCCACAACTTCATGCTTGTGAAGTCCCCTCAATAATGTCCACCCCACTAGATCTTCCTGTCCAACCCCTGTGTATTAGCAAGAGTTCTCTGGAAAAAAAGAGCCACTGGGTGTATGTATACATAGAAAGGAATTTATTTAAATTCATGTGATTGTGGAGGCTGGTGAGTCCGAGTTCTGCAGGGCAGGCTGGCAGGCTGGCCTCTCAGGAAGGAGTCGCAGTTCAAGTCCAAAGGCCATCTGCGAGCAGAACGCCCTCGTGCTGGGGTGGGTCAGGCTTTTGGCTATTCAGGCCTTCAGCTAATTGGATGAGGCCCACCACACCATGGAGGGCCATCTGCTTTCCTCAAAGCTACCAATTTAAGTATAATCTCATCTAACCCCCACTGCCCAGAGTAATATTTGATCAAACATCTGGGCATAGTGGCCCAGCCAAATTGACGCCTGAAATTATTAACCTGCACACCAAGTCTAGAAAAGCCACTTTCGTTTTTGTACCAGGGAAAAGAATAACCAAGGAAGCTCAGTCCTCCCCGCCTCCTCTTCCTCCTCCTCCTGCTTCCTCCTTCAGCCTTATGTGGTTAAAGGCAGAATTCCACCCTGGTGTCTGCACATGGCTGCGGTTTTCCTGGGGTCTTGAGCAAGTAAAGGGGACGAGAGCCATGGAGAGAAGCGGGGAGGCAGGAGAGGAGAGGGCCCCCTGGCCACTGGTCCCTCCGGTTTCCCTCCTCTGTGCAGATAGCCGGGTCCCTGTGTTTATTTGTGGTCCATTTCTGTCTGTAGAAGTGGCACTAGATGTGCAAAGAAAGGGACCCACATGGATGCTTTCTGTGTCACTCCTTTCAGGAAGACGACCCAGCAAACTGACTTGTCCCAAGGATTATTGCGCAGGAAGGGCTGTGGCCATGGGCTGGTCTGTCCCACATTCAAGGGTGGGACCCTAGTTATAAAGGGTTAGTCCCTGCTTCCAGGGCAGCTGAATCTGCAGGGTGTTTGTGAAGTCCCAAGATACTCCACAAGCATGCTAGTCACCTTCTCTGTTCTGGGGACCGGGCTGAACATTGGAGACAGACAGGCGAATGGCACTGACCTCACCCTAAGAGCTAGGTGGAGAGATAGAAACAGGACAGTGACAGCAGAGCTGGTTAAAACCAGTGAGGGACCAGAGGAGGGACGCCTGCTCTAGAATGCAGGGGCTGTGGGCTCAGGGGCGGTGTAGGGTCCAGAAGAGCGAGCTGGAGCTAGCTGGGCAGACGGCAGTTTGCGGAAACACATTCTGGATGGAGGAAGCTCAGGGGCAAGGGATTCCCGGCCTGGGAGAGCGGAACATTCAGGGAAGAACGAGTAGTTTGGTGTAGGGGAGACTGCAGAGGGGCAGGGACCGGCAGGAGGTTGGTATTTGGAGCAGCACCTTTCCTGTCACATGGTAAGGTCATACACAACCCCGTGCTTGCAGGTGGTTGCATCCCTGTCTTTGTCTCTCTGTGCCACTTGGCCACAGTCCTCCCTCCTGAGCATTCTCTCCTTGGCTTCCAGGACCCAGAACCTGGCTCCCCACCCGCACACCTGCTTCTGGTCAGGCCGCTGCTGATGCTCCTCGGCACGGTCATGCGTGCCGGGTGCCCGGTGGCTCGGGCCTCAGGCCCCATCTCCTCCCCAGCTGCACGCCCTTGCTGATGTCATATGCACGCTGCCCACACTGTCACCCTCTGTCCCTCTGTGCTGCCTGGGTTTCATCCTAGCACTTACCTCTGCCTGGTGTCTTGTTTATGTGTTTGTCTGAACGCCTGCCCGTCTCTTCACCTGACCGTAACCCTGCGAGGGCAGGGACTTGGTTTCACTCACTGCTCCTCTCCAGCGCCTGGAACAGGGTCTGGCACCTACTAGGACACGATCATAGTGTTGACTGAATACATGAGCACATACACCAGTGTCATAACATACTGTGACAGGCTGCATAAGCACACCCCAGAGATGACCACGGCCTAATCCCTGGGACCCGTGAGTGTGACCTTATGTGCCAGAAGGGACCGTGCAGATGGGAGTAAGTTAAGGGTCTTTGGCTGGGGAGATGGTCCTGGACTACCCTTGCGTCCTTATAGGAGGGCGGTTAGAGGCGGGGGATGGAAGCGGGCTTTGGGGGATACACTTTGAAGATGGAGGAAGGGGGTGGGTGCAAGCCCAGGAGCACAGGCAGCTGCAAGGAGGAGGAAGAGGCGAGGACGTGGACTCTCCCCTGGCCTCCAGCCAGGAACGCAGCCCTGCCCACGCACTGCGTCAGCCCCGGGAAACTGATTGCAGACTGCAGTTTTCAGAACTGTAGGAGAATACATTTCTGTTGTCTTAAGCTACAGGTTTGTGGCAATTTGTCATTTGTGACAGGAAACTGATACAAATGCCACCACAGCAGCAACCGGCATTGTTGAGCACTTGCTGTTTATCAAGCACCACGCTTAGATGCTTCGCCAAGTCAGAATTCTTTTTAGGTGAAGGTAATGGAAATTCAACTCAAACAGTTTGAGCATAAAAGGAGAAATGTTGGCCCAGTGTGCTGGCTCACACCTATAATTCCAGCACTCTGGGAGGCCAAGGCAAGAGGACCACTTGAGCCCAGGAGTTCGAGACCAGCCTGAGCAAGAGTAAGACCCCATCTAACCAAAAAATAGAAAAAGTAGCCAGGTGTGGTGGTGGCACCCGTAGTCCCAGCTACTTGGGAGGCTGAGGCAGCAGGATTGCTTGAGCCCAGGAGTCTGAGGTTGCTGTGAGCTATGATGACGCCACTGCACTCCAGCCTGGGCAACAGAATGAGACCCTGTCTCAAAAAAAAAAAAGGAGATGTATGTATGGGTCCCCTGACCATCCCCCAGAAGAGCAAGGCTGAGCTTTAGGGATTCAAATGGTCAAGGGACTCTCTGGGCCTTTCTGCCTCGCCATCTCTCCCGTTTCTTTGTGCGCACTAACACGCTTTCTGCATGCAGAGGGCGACATGCCACTTGCAGCCTGAGTTTATGGCCTTCCAGCATCCACGTCCAAGCGTGGCTGTACCGAGCGCTTCTTTGTCTCTGTCTCTTCCAGCTTTGCCACATGAAGTCCCAGGGAAGGCCTCTGACAGGTGGCCAGGCGTGCCCACCCTGTCACTGGAGAAGTGGTCGTTATTCGTGTCTTTTCAGCACAGAACATTTCCATGGCCCGGCTTTTTCTGTCCTCACAAACCCCTTTGCCACAGGCCTTTCTATGACCCTCGCTTTGCAGATGAGGAAACTGAAGCACAAAGAGCAATAGGGACATGGCCCAGGGACTCAGTCTGTGCAGTAGGGAGAATCTACACTTTTTCTCTTAACTTTTTATTTTGAAGCCATTTTAGATTCACAGGGAGTTGCAAAGCTGGCATAGAGAGCCGCAGCCCAAAACGGGAAGCTGGCGTCAATCTGAAATGTATGGGTAGTTCTATGTCACTCTATCCCACGTAGATTTGTGTGACTGGCACCATCACCACTGCCAAGACACAGAGCTGGGCCACCGCCACAAACCCGCCCTGTGCTGCCCCCTTCTGGTCACACTCGCCTCCACCATTCCCTCTCCAACTCTAAGTTTTGTCACGTCTGGGCTGTTACATGCGTGGCATCCTACAGCATGTGGCCTTTGGAGAGTGGCTGCTTCCGCTTGGCCCAGTGCCCTCGAGGTCCGTCCTGTGCTTGCTTTTGATGGTAGAGTGGTTTTCCATGGTAGGGATGCAGCACAGTGTCTTTAACGGTCCCCTGGTCTAGGGACGCCTCATTTGTTTCCAGAGCCTGACTGTTCCCCCAAAGGCACGTGGCCTCAGGGAATGTGGGGAGAAGGAGAAAGGTTACACTGCAAGTGGCCCTGCTGCAGGACCGGCTTTTGCTGTCGTGATTTGGGCACTGCCCCAGTGACAGCAGAGTCGTTGCAAGGGACGGATGAGCCTTTGAAGTGTCGTGGGAAGCTGAGGTTGCTGACCAAGTAGACTCTTTTGACAGCTCTGCAAGTTCAGGAACACGTTTTCCAGACTGAGCTGCTAAAATATTTATCACCCCAGGACAAAATGTCCTAAGACTGTAATAAATTAAAAAATTGTTGTTCATCAAGTCCAGAGCAGCGAGGGTCTGAGCTGCCTCCTCTGTTTCCTGTAGGAGCTGAGACTGGCGTCTTACCTCTCGAGGCTGACGATGGTGCCTGCGGCCACGCTGCGCCGGCTCCTGAGCGTGGTGCTGCCCACAGCCTCGCAGTCCCAGCTGCTGGCCCTGCTGGAGTCGGTCAGCGAGAAGCATCCAGACCACGCTGCCGAGAACGAGGGTGGCGCGGAGCAGGCCGACGCGGGCAGGCGGAGGTGAGAGTGTGGAAGGGCTGCCTGTGGAAGACAAGGGCCCGAGCCGCAGGGACCCCTCCAGGGTGGAGCAGACACAGGTACCTTCCCGGTGCCGCCTCCCTGTCCAGAGGGGCACTGTGAACCCCTGAGGTCATGAGAAGACCAAGTTTTTTGTCCATACTTTCTAACTTTGTCACCAATTTATTTTTCAAGTACAATCTTAACAAAATAAGTTTCCCCAGGGCCATAAATAGTTCATACACATCCATTAGAGAAAATGTAAAAATGCGTAAAAGGAAAAAAATACCCATGGTTCTATACCTGGAAAAGAAGTTAGCATTTTGTTACATTTCTTCCTCTAGAATGTTTTTTGTTTTGTTTTTGTGGAGACAGAGTCTGGCTCTGTTGTACGGCCAAGAGTGCCATGGCGTCATCCTAGCTCACAGCAACCTCAAACTCCTGGGCTCAAGCGATCCTCCTGCCTCAGCCTCCCGAGTAGCTGGGACTATAGGCATGTGCCATGGTGCCCGGCTAATTTTTTCTGTATATTTTTAGTTGTCCAGCTAATTACTTTCTATTTTTAGTTGAGACGGGTCTCGCTCTTGCTCAGGCTGGTCCCAAACTCCTGACCTCGAGCGATCCTCCTGCCTCGGCCTCCCAGAGTGCTAGGATTACAGGCGTGAGCCACCACACCGGGCCCAGAATGTATTTTTATGCTGAGTTTCGTGCGTGTATTGTGTGTGTGGTGTTGGCGTGTGTGCAGGGGGCATGTGTGTATTTGTGCGTTGGTGTGTAAGTGTGTGTGTTGTGTATGTAGATAGGCATATTTCTGTGTGTGTGTGTAGTGAGTACACGGTGAATATAGCTGACACTCCACTTTGTGGAACCTTATAGCAGAAGCAGGTTTGCTTTTCCGTTACGTTTCAACTCTCATCCATGTGTAAACATCTTCCTACGTAATTCTTATCCCATTAGTTAGGCTGTATTTCCTGTTCTTTTTATTAATTTAAAATTCATACTTTTCACTGTTACTGGAAACCCTTAGTAGATATTATTTGTAACAGCCTCCAGTACTCCACAGAGGGGTATGTTGTAGTGTGTGTATATACTGTAGTGGCTATAACTGTTAGCCAGTTACTGGACATTGAGCTTGTGTCCATTTTTTCCTCAATTACTCTGTATAGATATTTTTATTTATGATCAGTGTTCAGTGTGAATTAGGTTGGTAAAGGCTCTTCATAAGGAAAGGCAGGAAGCTGGGTGTCGAGCGAGGTGGGTTTGAGAATGGTGGCAGTGCCACTGAGAATGGGGTAGCTTGGGGACAAGGCAGTGAGGAACCACGGCCGATCGAGCGCTGAGCACCAGGCCGCAGTGCCACAGCCAGGCCCCAGCCAGGACCAGAGGACACTGGATGGGCGTCGGGGAGCAGTGAGGCTTGGGACGGCCCAATCGTGTGGACAGGCGTGTGTGGACATTGTCCTTCCCGAGGAAAGGGGCAGTGTCTTTTCATCAGAGCTGTAGAGGGGTCTCTTGACTCAAAAAGCAAGCAGCACTGTCGCGGGTCAATAGAGGAGGGCTGGGGTGGGGTGGGGAGGGAAAAAGGAAACAGCCGTGGGTGGGGTGCTAGGAAGGGCCTTCACCTGCCCAGTTAGATAGTGGGATGTGGGCTGCCAGAAGGTGGGCGTGGTCAGAGGGCTGGGCATGGTCAGAGAGCTGCATTTCACAGACTAGTTTTTTCCAGTCCACCTACTGCCTGGGAGGACAGGCGATGGCAAGTATTCAAGGTGAGCCTGGAGTGGGTGGCCTCGCAGGGAGGCCACCTCTGTCTGAGGTCACCCACGAAGACTTTGTTTTGGGGCTACCCCTTCAGCCAGTTTAGTTTGAGGGGTGGGCAGGCTGAGCTGGGACAAGGCGAGAGGACTCAGGGTAGCTGTGACCATGGGCATGACCATGCTCCTTCTTTGCCCAGCCTCATGGCCAAGCAGACTGATGACTTCTGGAGTCCCAGGCCACGTACCCTAGTCTCAGGGCAGGGCAGTCACTACTGTTGCGTGCCAAGCACCTGGCACCTACTCTTCACATCAGCTAAGCATCTTGGGTTTCTAGCAGTACAAACTGAGTAACCTCAGCACGAGCAGGGTGTACAGCGGCACGTCGGAATCCAGGGAAGAGCCCCAGGAAGGCAGGGCCAGGGAAGTAGGGCCATCGTCTCTGGGTGCTGCCATCAGAGGACCATCCTTCTCTGCTCAGGAGGTACCTCCTGGGAGAGAGCCTGCCTCGCCCAGTGTGAAAGGGTTCCGTCTCCACCAGCGGCTGAGCAGATGTGAACTGCCGAGGCAGAGGAGTGAGCTTGCCCCAGGCAGGACTCTCAGTTCTAGGCTGTCCCTTGCTGGTGTGACTTGCATCTTCTAATCTCCTGGCAGCACTCCCAAGGCCTCTGCCCTTCAGTTTAGGACCAAACCCCTTCGTGCGGCCTCAGGGCTCCCTGCCTAAGGCTTAGCCCACCTTCCAGATTTACACTGTGTTTCTCAGCTTCTCTATTCGTATATTCATAAAATACACCACAGTAGGCAGCCTTCCTCTGTCCGACTGATGTCACTTGTCACCCGTCCGTGATGCCCTGGACTGGACCCCTTGAGGGCAGAGGCTGCATCTTGCCCAGGCCCGAGAAGGTGCGTGGTCTGTGTGCAGAGAATGGGTGAAAGAACAAACGGTGAACACCCCTCGCGCTCTCGGCCACATGGCGGGATGGAGCCCTGTGCGGCCTCTGCGGGATTATTAACCCCTGGATGATGCTATTTCTTCTGAAACCATAAACTCTCCCTTCTTGCCTTCAGGAAACACCAGGGCTGGTGGCAAGCCTTGGACAGCAAGCTGCGTGGGGATCTGGTGAGCAGAGGATTAGAAAAAATGCTCTGGGCGCGCAAGAGGAAGGAGAGGTATGGGCCCCTGCCCGGGTGGCTGGGGTGGGGGAGCCACGCTGCCTGCAAGCCACAAGGAAGGGGAGGGTTGCTGCCCACAGATAGCAGTCTTTGCCCGCACACTGCGCTCCTTCTCCAGTGGGCTTGGCTGAGAAGCTGAGGGCAGGATAGAACGGAAGCGGAGGGAGGTCAGACACAAGGCTCCAGGTCTGCCACTGTAAACAGTGGCCATGGGGTTCGGGACCCTCTGGTTACCCTCTGTATGTCCCCAAACTCCCAGGCATGTGCTCTTTGCACCCCCTCCAACTCTGCTGTGGTCATTGCACACCTGGAGAACAGAGGGAAGGAAGGGGCATAATGGATTTGAGGGCCACAAACTGTGGGCCAAGTGTCTCCTGTGATTCCCACTAGAGAAGATTTAGAAAAAGAAGCACATGAGCTAGATTCATAAGCAGTTAAAAAGTGATGTCCAGGGTGTGCTCTGGAAATAGTGACTGTCCACGGGAAGTATCTGCCTGAGCCCTGCTCCTGCCACCATTTCTCAGAGCCAAGCCAAAGGTGCTGAGACCAAGCTTCATGGATTGCCCATGACAAAGGTGTGGAGCCTTTTACTTGGCTGGATATCACAATGTGGTCCCGAAGAAATTAGATCGGGATGTTGACTAAGAGAAGGACATTCAAGCCTAGATGAAGAAAATTGAATGCAACTGTGTAACTGTAAAGTGTCCTGCAAGGAACACTGCTAGGCTGTGCCAGTAGAAGTGGTTGGGTACAGATCTAGAGACACGGTGGTCCCACTGTCCTGGCTCACTGTGCTAGCTGTCACTCTGCCTGGAAGCACCGGGGACCTACTGTGGCAAAAGGAGACACTAGATCAGAGAGAGCCGGGCTCAAATCCTTGCTCAGAGCCACTAGCTGCAAGGGCAGCAGTTAGTGGTGACAGCCGTGGAGCTGAATCTGCCATGTCCCTTCAGGGAGGGCCAGCAAGCCTGCCAGTGACATCCAGCAGGTAGTCCCATTGGCCTTGTCCTGTGCTACTTGGGCAGCGAGAGAGCGGTTGTGCAGGGCTCTCCGCGGTAGTCACAGCCATTACCAAGAGCAGCCAGGGATTCCAGGGAGGAACCACTCATGGCCAGCATTCCAGGAGTCCTTTCCTGGGACATTCCCAAAGCTTGCTACATATGTCAAACACATTTTGCCCAATTTAACTGCTGATTTTTAACCAGGTTTCATCGACCTGCTTTTAGTGTGAGATCCATGGGGTAGACTCGTAAATGTTTAACAATTAGCTGGTGGGGAGTTCTGATCTATAGCACTTGCCAATTTCCATGGTGTAAATACTCCCACCATGGCTAATTTCAAGCTAACAACCTGATGACAACAGGCTTGCAAAACTCCTGAAGACTTAGCAGTCGTGAGCCCATAGGAGTGGGCTGCAGCACACTGCTGCCGCAGGCTTCAGCTAACTTCATGGCAATCTGGTGATCACGGGTAAAATAACTTCTCTTTAAAACGGTGCTTGGTTGGGGACTTTAGGGCCCCGAGAGGGATTTTCCTGGAAAACCATCAGAACACTCAAGAGGGTCAGTTACCAAAACTGTTGAATTTGATCTTGTGTTCTTTCTTTAGCATATTAAAGAAGACATGTCTTCCCCTCAGAGAGAGGGTGACATTCTTTGGAAAAGGAAGTTGGCCTCACCTGTCACTGGAGCCCATTGGCGAACTAGCTCCTGTACCCCTTGTAGGGGCAGAAACCACTGATGTATTAAACACAGGCGAAAAGCTCTTTATCTTCAGAAATCGGAAGGAGCCAGAGATCTCATTGCACATTCCTCCCAGGAAAAAGAAGAACTTTCTAAATGCCAAAAAGGCCACTAGGGCCTCGGACATGGACTAGCCCCAGGGAAAGTTGCATGGGAGCATCTGAAGACAGGATTTATTTTCTCCGGCCCACCAGTGTTTGTTTGTTTATAATGCACCACTTACAAATGCAAACTGCACAGACAGAAGGCGCAGACATCCCTGACACACGCTGACTTTCGGGGACTCAGTTGCATCTGGTCTCGTGAATCTCCAGTGGCCCACTCTCTTCCACATCATGGGGACATGAACACTCATTCCTTTAGTTCCCACCTTACCAAGGCCCTGGAGGAGACCCTCACCCCTCGATTCCCATCTTGCCATCGGGCTGCATAATACTTGGGCTGTGTATGTCGAAGGCAAGGTTCTCTGTTCTTACATTTTGTATTTATTACATTTTTCATTTTTATTAAGGGAACTCCTAAATATATGTTACACAAACTCTTCATAGTGGAACCCACTTTTGTTTTACATAGTAAGAACCATTTGTTTTAATTACTTCTTGTGTTTTGGCACAACACACAATGTGGTGTTCAACAGCAAGATTCGCCCTCTGTCACTCCAGTTGCCAAAACCCTTCCAGCTCCTGGGGTGATTTTTCCTGTTTTACAAATGAGGACATTCAGTGGTTTAAAAAGCTGAAGTGATTTTTACAAGATCATAAAGCTATTATAATAAGTAGTAAAATCAGGATTCACACTTGACAGCACCAAAACCCTGTCCTTTCTTCTGGCCTTGGTCAATGGACACGTGGCGGGCCTCACACCTTTGCCAACAAACACACTGCATCCAAGACCTTCTTTTTCACAAAGTGCTTGTGCGTGACCCGGCCCTTTCCACCCTCGCAGCGATGGGTGGGCCACATCACCCTGGGAGCTTTTCTGAGCCAGGCAAAGAATTCAGATGCAATGGGTCTTTCCCAAGGGGAGGAAATCATTAGGAAGGGAGTCCTGTCACCTGGGAGGGGAAGAAAGGGACTGAGGGAACACTGTTACCTGAGGGCTGCTGCTGGACCTTTCAACTACTTTAACCTGCTTCTTAGTGATCCCTTATACTCCGACCAGGTGGGTATCCCTACTCCCATCTGACAGCCGGTGAAGCTGAGACTCGGAGAGTTTAAGGGATTTGCCTGCAGTCACACCAATCACACCACCTATACAGGGAATCCTGGGTCTCTAACTCTAACACGCCTACCTGCCGTGGACGCCCATTTCCACTGGCAACCTGAAGACCACGTCTTCTTTGCAGTTCCCGTCAGCGTGCACTGAGTATCACGGCTGGGACCTTCGCGAGGGGATGACTTCCTCGGGGCAGCTGTGCACCATCTAAATGAGCTGGCCCTTGGCCACATTGCTACACTAGCAGGTACTCAGGAGTCAGCAGCTGGAGCGCAGAAGAGAAGAGTTGATGTGTCCAGTTTTCCCATCAGAAAGGCCAATGGGCCCTTCTGATTTTTAATTTAGTTATTGTTAGTATTATGGGTACATAACAGTACAACTGCCTTTATAGGGCACATGTGATGTTTTGATACAGGCACACAATGTGAATTAATCAAATCAGAGTAATTGGGGTATCCATCACCTCAGGCATTTATCATTTCTTTGTGTTAGGAACATGCAAATTCCACTCTTTTGGTTATTTTAAAGTATACCCTAACTTGTTGAATACAGTCACTTTGTTGTGTTATCAAATATTGCTCATTCCATCTACATATCTAAATATATTTTTGTACCCATTACCCACCCCCACTTTATCCCCTGCTCCCCGCTACCCTTCCCAGCCTCTTGTAACTGTCATTCTACTGTCTGTCTCCATGAGATTAATTGTTTTAATATTTAGCTCCCACATGTGAGTGAGAACATGCAAGATTTGTCTTTCTGTGCTTGGCTTATTTCACTTAACATAATGTCCTCCAGTTCCATCTGTGTTGCTGTAAATGGCAGGATTTCCTTCTTTTTGTGGCTGTATAATATTCCATTGTGTATATGGACCACAATTTCTTTATCCATTCATCCACTGATGGACACTTAGGTTGATTCCAAATTGTGGCTATTGTGAATAGTGCTGCAATAAACGTGGGAGTGCAGATATCTTTACAATATACTGATTTCTCCTCCTTTGGATATACACCCAGCAGTGAGATCACTGGGTCATATGGTAGTTCTATTTTCAGTTTTCTGAGGAACCTTCATACTGTTCTCCATAGTGGTTGCACTAATTTACATTTCCACCAACAATTTACAAAAGCTTCCCCTTTCTCATATCCTTACCAGCATTCATTTTTATCGCCTGTCTTTTGGATAAAAGCCATTTTAACTGAGGAGAGATGATATCTCATTGTAGTTTTGATTTGCATTTCTCTGATGAATAATGATGTTGACCATTTTTTTATATTATCATGTTGGCCATTTGTATGTCTTCTTTTAAGAAATGTCTATTCAGATCCTTTGCCCATTTTTTGATCAGGTTATTTGATTTTTTTCCTATTAGTTGTTGGAGCTTCTTGTATATTCTAATTATTAATCCCTTGTCAGAGGGGTAGTTTGCAGATATTTTCTCCCATTCTGTGGGTTGTGTCTTCCCTTTGTTGATTGTTTCCTTTGCTGTGCAGAAGGTTTTTAGCTTGATGTGGTCCCATTGTCCAATTTTGCTTTGGTTGCCTGTGCTTTGGGGTATTACCCGGGAAGTCCTTTCCCAAACCAATGTCCTGAAGCATTTCCCCAATGTTTTCTTTTATAGTTTCATAGTCTCAGTTCTCAGATTTAAGTCTTTAATCCATTTTTATTTGATTTTTATATATGGCAAGAGATAAGGATCTAGTTTCATTTTTCTGCATATGGACATCCAGTTTTCCCAGCATCATTTATTGAAGAGACTGTCTTTTCCCCACCGTACGTTCTTGGCATCTTTGTCAAGAAGATAAGTACACTATAGATGTATGGATTTATTTCTGGGTTCTCTCTCCCGTCCCATTGGTCTATGTGTCTGTTTTTATGCCAGTACCATGCTGTTTTGTTTACTACAGCTCTGTAATATAATTGGAAGTCAGATAATGTGATTCCTCCAGTTTTGTTCTTTCTGCTCAGGATAGCTTTGTCTATTCTGGGTCTTTTGTTGTTCCATATAAATTTTAGGATTCTTTTTTCTGTGTCTGTGAAGAATGTCATTGGTATTTTGATGGAGATTGCACTGAATCTGTAGATCACTTTGAGTAGGATGGGCATTTTAACAATATTGATTTTTCCAATCCACAAGCATGGAATATCTTTGCCTTTTTGTGTGTTCTCTTCATTTTCTTTCATCACTGTTTTATAGTTTGCATTATAGAGGTCTTTTACTTCTTTGGTTAAGTTTATTTGCTAGGTATTTTATTTTATTTTTAGCTGTTGTAAATGGGATCACTTTCTTGGTTTCTTTTTCAGATTATTTACAGTTGGCATGTAGAAATGCTATTGATTTTTGTATATTGATGTTGTATCCTGCAACTTTACTGACTTTGTTTATCAGTTCTAATAGTTTTTTGTGGAGTTTTTAGGTTTCTCTAGATAATAAGACCATATTGTGTGCAAACAAGGATAATTGAACTTCTTCCTTTCCAATTTGGATGCCCTTTATTTTCTTCTCCTATCTGATTGCTCTAGCTATTACTTCTGGTACTATGTTGAATAACGATGGTGAGAATGGGCATCCTTGTCTTGTTCCAGATCTTAGAGGAAAGGCTTTCAGTTTTTCTCCATTCAGTATGATACTAGCTGTGGGTCTGTCTTATATGGCTTTCATCATGTTGAGGTAAGTTCCTTCTTTACCCAGTTTTTTGAGTTTTTATCATGAACGGATGTTGAATTTTATTGAATAGTTTTTCAGCATCAGTTGAAATGATCATATGGTGTTTGTCCTTCGTTTTGTTGATATGATGTATCACATTGATTTGTGAATGTTGAACCATCCTTGCATCCCTGCAATGAATCCCACTTGATCATGATGAATAATCTTTTTAATGTATTGGTGAATTTGGTTTGCTAGTATTTTTTTTAGGAGTTTTGCATCTGTGTTCGTTAGAGATATTGTCCTATAGTTTTCTTTTTTGGGTACATCTTCATCTGAAGGCTGATTGAAGAGAGTATCTGTCTTCACGGTGGATACAGGCCTTGTAGAATGAACTTCGGAGTATCTCCTCCTCCTTGATTTTTTGGAATAGTTTAAGTAGGATTGGTATTAATTCTTCTTTGAATGCTCAGTAGAATTCAGCAGTGAAGCCATCAGGTCCTGAGCTTTTCTTTGATGGGAGACTTTTTATTATTTCTTCTCTCTAGTTATTTGTTATTGATTTTTTCAGGTTTTGGATTTCTCCCTGGTTCAGTCTTGGTAGCTGTATGTGTCTGGGAGTTTATGCATTTCTTCTAGGTTTTCCAAGTTATTGGCATATAGTTGCCCATAGTAGTCTCTAATGAGCAGTATCAGTTGTAATGTCTCCTTTTTCATCTCTGATTTTATTTATTTGGGTCTTCTGTCTTTTTTTCCTTAATTAGTCTGACTGAAGGTATGTCAATTTTGTTTATCGTTTCAAAAAACCAATTTTTCATTTCATCGATCTTTTGTATTTTTTTGTTTCAATTACATCTATTTCTTCTCTGATCTTTATTATTTGTTTTCTTCTACTGATTTTTAGTTTGTTTTGCTCTTGTTCTGAGCCTCATTTTCTTCATCAATAAAATGATGATGAGAATCCTTTGTTGTAAGGAGTAGATACAACTAGATCTGTAAAGCGCTTGGTGGTATAGGCTCACCGTATCTGTGCCCTCTACCCCTCAAAGGTAACTGTCTGCCCTTCTGATCATTTCCTGCTTCTATAGGGCTCTGCTAGAATTATGCATGGTTGAAAGTAGATTGCACATAAGGATTTCAAAAAATAGCTCAAAATTATAGGCTGAAGGCTGATTGAAGAGGCTATCTGCAGCAACAGGAGGTGCCCACACTGCTCAAAATCCAGCATTTGAACCGAATAATAACTCCCTATGTTAATAGACAGGGAAGGAC